ATACTTAGCTCCAGTCAGGATTTGTTCAGATGATCATGAAGTAGGGGTTCTCGTCTGGCTTCAATTTCCCAACTCCTTCTGACTCCTCTTTTCTCTTCCTATTCTACTCCTTTTTTTGTCCTTTCTCCCTCTTCTCTGTAGTCTTAATGTGATCTTATAGGGTGCGTTTCTGTACTGCTCATTGACAATCATTATCCCACAACTTAATAACTAGGTATACAGTACCTACATGTAGGTAAACTTTACAATTGTTTTTGACCAGGGGACCCCCCAAATCTCAGCAAACATCCCCTCTGCTTTGAAGCTAGAAATGTTTACTCTGCCAGGTGTCACACACTTTATCTAAACTCTTAGAGACACTTCCTGGTCACCTATTGGTGTAACAATATTTTAAACACTTCCAGAATATTCTGCTATTGTAATAAAATGGGTTTTCTCATTGGTTTCAGATATTACAGATTACAATGTTTCCAGATCTGGAGTCGGTAAGTATCAGAACAGTATTAAGCGGGATTCCAGGTGTTTAAAATTACACCATGTATTATACAACATTATATATAATACATGTATACAGTATTATATATATAACAACAAAATTCAGACCCCTCCACAAATTCACATTTTGTTACATTGAAGATTAAAGTCATGACACTTTGAAGTAGTCACGTATTTTCTATGGCACAGGCAGAACCTTTCCACACACTACGCTTTTATTTTTGTGTTTGGCCTCATGCACCCTGCTGTACCAGACTGGACCCTGCTAAATAGGGAAAGCCCAGTGTGGAGGTCGCAATGTACAGCAGTACACCTTTCGTTTTGCTTTCTGTTTCATTTTTCACCCTTTTTGTTTTATTTTTGGTCCCTGCGAACCTCACACTGGTGCTTCTGTCCCTCAGTTAAGGGCGTTGACTTCTTATCCAGTGCTCGCCGTGGCTCCGCCTACTCCCACACTGTCACAATAGGTTTTAAAATGTATGCATCATTTTGTAATTTGGCAAAATGAGAGACCAAAGAAAGGGTATAATATAATATGGGGTGGCACAATGGCATGGTTGTTTGTTTT